GGCAATACCTGCAGGTAACTGAATATGTCATACTTGAGTGTATATCTTAGATATTCCCATGTACTACTTCTGTGTGTAGATTATGCCAATTATGTAAACTGTATTACGTTGTTTACCTTTTGGAATATGTATTGTGGCTGAACTGAATGTATCTTGTGTGAATGCCCACTCGGGTAATGTATTAGCTAGAGTGTGTCGGTTATACTATATTCAATCATATGTAAACTGTTGCATTACGTGTGTACCTTGGAATATGTATCGTGACTAATGTTGTACATGTATATATCTTGTGTAATGATTCCATATCATGTTCATCTAATGTTCTTCACATATATGTACCTCTATTACTGATTGTAAATCTTCTCTAATAATTGACTGTAAACATTCTATTGTTGACTGATTATATATACATTTCTGTGGCTGTCTAATAAACTGATAGTTAATTCACTCAGGTCTTGTGTTGTTGTGTGGGTTAGTCGTGTATAGTGGTACCTCTGCTTAGCGAACTAATTCCTCTCATCCGTTTTGATACAACTGGTCCTCGACAACCCATGCTTTGTCCCGAGAGGCGACTAACAGGATCGGAGTGCAAGGCTCGCTGACTTGGTTGATAGATGTCATGGTATCCCAGTTGCATAGATCGATGCTCATGATGTCAGTCAGTGGATTGTCTGGTCCAGACTCAGTTGTTTATTGACTATATATTGCAGGAATATTCCTGAAAGCGGAATTAAACAACAAACAAACAAAACATAATTCACACCCTTAGTTGTATAATGATATAAGGGTAACGCTATTTTTCAGGGCATTATCATTTGCAGAAGCCCGAGGTCTTCCATTAACTGCCCGACGAAGGAGGGCAGTTGAATAGACTGAGGGCTTCTGCAAATGATAATGCCCAGAAAAATAGCGTTACCGTTATTATAGCTAAAATGGATGGATTTTTTTATCAAATAAAAAGAAACAACAATATCGTGTTTGAAACATTTACTGCAATCAACACGAATGTCACTTACCCACTTTTACTATATGGAAACGTCATAGAACTAATCAGATGACGTCACTATTGAACGTGACGTCACCGATCCTATCCTTTGACGTCACCTAACAACGGGCGTGATAATGGCCCGTCGTCAAGTAATATGAGGGCATTATCAAGTTACAGTGGCCCGCTCATTTCTGATAACATGCGGGCGGTTTAATGATAATTCTATCCATTTTAGCTATAAGTATAAAATATAATGTGTTTATGTGCAATTACGTAGTTGTTATTTCAAAAGTATGAACGTTATTTTTAAGTATGGCAGATATAAAATCTTTACTGACAAATCCGAAGTTAAGGTTGGTTGATAATCGAACACTGTAATACATCATTCTCACAGAAAGTAATTTCCTGTATAAAAATAGCAAACAATGTTTGCGAATGACTAGGTTCTAGACAGATCTAGTAAGTTTCATTTAATTCTTCAAACGACAGTTTGTTTTTCTCGGATTTCCTTAAGAATATCAATCAAACGGGAAATTATTAACCTATCAATACAGAGGCAGTTTCTCAGTTTCACAAAAAGCATTTATTATTACGCGTGGACCTGCACTAAACATCCATCTTCAAAAAGGACACTTAGTAGATATAATATGGAAGAAATGTCACCGATTAAAGATAACTATTAATCAATATTTTAGAGTGAGTGAGTATGGTTTTACGCCGCTTTTAGCAATATTCCAGCAATATCACGGCGGGGGGCACCAGAAATGGGCTTCACACATTGTACCCATGTCGGGAATCGAACCCAGGTCTTCACTAGGCTACCCGACCGCCCCTAATATTTTAGAAGTAAACGGAGATGTACGGTTATACTGTTGCCGTGGAAACCCTTATTTACATTATCATTATATATTATTGGAATACTATTCCCGTACTTACTGTTAATTTAAATATTATTTAATTACTTCACAATTAATAAATTATTTCCCCCCATATATCTCTATTTAAATACGGCAGGTGTATACATTATCATTATATATTATTGGAATACTATTCCCTTACTTACTGTAAATTTAAATATTATTTGATTACTTCACAATTTATCAATTATTTCCCCCCATATATCTCTATTTAAATACGGCAGGTGTATGCACGTTACAGCTAGGGAAAAAGACGCTCTGAACCAAATAATCGAAAGGGAGATAACTCGTGCAGGACAAATATTCTTATCCTCATAAACCAGCCTCATGAACTAGCCTCATGTTCGCAAACAGAGGCTTAGGGATGAACTGCATACGTCTAGCAAGTTAAACAGTTACTGACTTGAAAGCGCCTGGAAGTATCAAGCATGTGCTGTCCTGTTTCTGTTTCAGAGATAGTACAAATAAAAAAACCGGGCTGTAACATGACGTGATAAATATGTCCATATAAGGAAGAAAAAAGGTTTACCTTTGTGGTAAGTTTGTGATTGAGACTGACAGCGTGAGAATGCGTATCATCAACTGCCCAATATACATGTCTCATTCATACAGTTTGTATGGCGATATAGGAGATCAGCATAGAGCACACAGGAAGGATAGATTTTTTTAAAACTTGGATTATGAATCACGAAAAAAATAAATGAAAAGCTGTGTTAGTTTTATTCCGCCGACTAGAAATAAGGTAAATGTTAATATACACAAAATCGTTTACAGTCGGTATTACTATAAATAGATTATTTAAAATATTATGATAAAAACCTGTTGAAATTTTATCTAAAAACCTCCCACCCCCACTTACTATATTTTTCCTGCCTACTTTTTGAGGAAATCGAAAAAATATTTTAAATACGGTTTTAAAATATATTTTTCGAGCTACTGACCTTAATTCATCCGTGAAACTTCAAAATAAAGTCTGGCTTAACAATATTAAATGCAATCCAAGCAATCGAATTTAGTTGTAAATACTTTCGGCCTATGTTACACATATGTATAATTATACATTGTCCAGGTATACTTGCGGGCTATGTATGTCAGTGTGTGTATCTGTAAATGAAAGTGAGGGGCGGGAGTTGTGGAAATCTTCCGCCATCAAATTTGTCCATGTAAAGTAGAGTCTCAATCAAGTAAATCTCTTTGTCAAGTGTTAAAGTCTGAAAGTTAAAGCTGAAACTACAAGCTTGAATCATCCTGAAAGTCACGCACTAACACTGCTGGTTGTATGTACACTGAAAGTACAGTAAACTACGTTTATAACGAACACGCTTATACCGAACTGACGGATATAACGTACTGTTTTTGGTGTCCCCTCCATTTGCTGTACATGTACCTAAAACGAACTGCGGTTATAACGAACTAAAACTAGTGGCCCCTTTTAGTTCGTTATAACCGTAGTTGACTCTGTATACTGAGTTTGTATTTTATCTAATCATAAATTGAAAGTACTGAAATTTAATTTGATTATGTCTGTTTAACCATCACTCATTCCTGCATCGGGGCGGCCGGGTAGCCTCGTTCGCTCGTCACGCCGAAGACCCGGGTTCGAATCCCGACATGGGTACAATGTGTGAAGCCCATTTCTGGTGTCCCCCGCCGTGATATTGCTGGAATATTGCTAAAAGCGGCGTAAAACCGTACTCACTCACTCACTCACTCATTCCTGCATCAGTTTGTAAAGTGCAATCTGGGTAATTTTGTGTAAAAATAATATTGGTTCAGTTAAGTCTTGGGTAAAAAATGAAATTGCAACCACATGCCCCCTACCATGTTAGAAATGTTGTACCTTCTTGCCGAAAAATGTAAATGTTTTGATTTTCAAAGATACGATTTCTAAGATACCCATCAGCAGTTGTGTATGATGTGAGATGTGATTTTGCTATCTAAAGTTTAAATCAAAATATATTTTAAAACAAAAAAAACATGTGGAAGTATCCACACACTGACTGACAAAGAGCCACTACGGTTTATATTTATATATAATATCGCAAATTTAGGATATTGCAAATCAAACACAAATTATGATAAAATAAACTGATAGGTATTATATAGTTTCTTTTGCTGCTCAGTATACATCGGGAAGTCACATAGTATTGATATAATAGTATTAATATAATGAGTGAGTGAGGTTGATTTTACGCCGCTTTTAGCAATATTCAAGCAATATCACGGCGGGGGACACCAGAAATGGTCTTCACACATTGTACCAATGTCGGGAATCGAACCCGGGTCTTCGGCGTGACGAGCGAACGCTTTAACCATTAGGCTACCCGACCGCCCCGTATTAATATAATGAGGTATGTTAAACACACATAGACACGAAATATAAAGACTTATCAAGCATCTCTGATCAGGATGTTCTGACTGCAATTAAAACAACTCGAAAAAAACAATACTTTTGTAGAATTTTTCGAGTGCCTCACCTTTTCATTTTATATTTCGTTTATTGAACAAAGCAATGTAATGTACTGCAATAAATTGGAAACGGTCTAAACCGCCGTGTGTATATGGCAGGAATATCCCAAAATCCTGTTTCAGGTCGCATGACGATCGGGTAACTTCGCTGTGGATTAGGGGTGCACGGGTGGCCCAGTCGTCTAAGGCGCCGCGATTCGCTGTGCAGAGTTGCGTCCCTTGGGCACGCCAGAAACCTATGATTGTGGGATCGAATCCCGGTTCGCCCCGATTATGTTTCTAGGTTTGTCAGCACCATACCCGTGCTCCTTGTTTCACCGAAGTGGTAAACGTCTGAGACCTGCATCACTTCAGGCTTTCCTCCCACATTAAGCTGACACGCCGTGATATAACTGGAATACTGTTAAAAGCGGCATTAAACCCAACTCACTCACTCACTCGCTGTGGTTTACTCCAGTCGACATGAAATTGTTACCCTATAGAAAGTGAGGCTTTTGCTAAAGAACTGTCCTTACTTGAAGATGTCTGTACGTTTACAATTGGTACAACGCTGCTACTCAGGATATTGTATCAACATAACTGGAATCGTTGGCGTTCAAAATCAAACAAAAAAGGCTTCACCAACATTTGCTTATGAAAACAAATATTTTATTTTCAAACTGGTTGTATAACACTCATTTCACGCCCTAAAAGTCACAAAATCCGTCAAAACAATATAATCAAACCAAAAGGAAAGAATAATATGCAAAGTAAAAAGATAATTACCGTTTCCAAATCAAAAGGGATAACATGTCATTTTCAGTCTATTTAAACAATCTACAAATAACAGAAATAATTGGAACCATGCCTTTACACCTATCAAGTAAATGAGAACACCATAAACAGCAATGGTGGATAAATAAATTATATCTATATCTCAAGCAAATAAATAAATATATGTATATAAAACGGGGATATCGTAATTTAAAGATAGGTTAAATCCGATACAGATTTTCTACAAAAAGGTAAAACGTAATTTGTAACAAGTCTGATTAATCAACTGTAAAATATTTCGCTCTGATCTTTAACGAAGTTAAGGATCACCCGATTTTTTCTTATTACTATCGTTTATATGTTATGGCACAACAGAATACCTATAGTAATATGACATAACCGGGTCATCCTTAAATGTTTTCAGTAGTATACTGAAAGTAGTTATGTTAGTTACTTGTTATTGTTATGGCTCACTTCGAAGGGACACATGTGGAAGTGATGTAAATTCATTTGAATTTCACAGTTTCCCATATCCATGTACTGTCGCAATACTGCGTTCTTGACAGAAGGCGATTACGTATTATTCAGTGTTACATATACAATACATCCCATCACCTAATTCAACAATATGCAATAAGGTGTATCTGTACATGGTATGAATATTCAATCATTTCAAAACCTATAACACACTTTGCATTGTTCATGGAATCCAGTTTCCGGTAAGTTCCCGTGTGGGATAGTCTTTGGGAATACATTATATCTATAGGTGGTCCACTGAGGTTTCTTGTCGGCCTGTCACACGGGAGATAACTCATGTTGACAAGGGAGACAACTCTATCTGATATTGATGTACGCAATCTGGTTACCGAAAGGGAACTTATCCCTTCTGTATGAGTAGAACTCGCCTGGGTTGTCGTACGTGCATCTATGGGCACTTGTGTCAATGTTCTCTATCCTTACTCCAACTCTCTGAAGAAGTATCTTATTGGCTGACAGAAGGTCAACATACACCTTCTGATCGCCTTCTTTCCATAGAACAAGAGAAGGGTCAATGTCCGCAAAACCTTTCGCGTCTTCTGGAGTGAACTGTAGATTGCTTGCAGAAAGACACGGACCAATAGCCACGACAATGTCGCCGACGTCACACCCGAAATCTCTCACCATGGCTTGGATAGTGGCGACTGTTATGCCCTTTAGCGTTCCTCTCCATCCAGCATGGGTAGCCCCACAGACGCGTCGCACTGGGTCCGCAAACAAGATGGTCACGCAGTCCGCCCCTGGAGCTGCGATGGTGATCCCTGCTGAGCGAGTCACAATGGCGTCAAACCCTGCAGGTACATCCTGGCCGATACTCCATACTCGGTTGCCGTGCTCGACCTTGGGAAACTGCATGTTCTTGTTGTTGAAGCCAGCCGCTTCCGCCAGACGACGACGGTTCTCGTTGATTACCAACATGGAGTCCCGTTTGCGAGAGGCAAAGGCGAGATTGAGCGAGCGGAGGGCGGGAGTGGAGGAGATACCGCCATTTCTGGTGGTGAATCCGTGGTTAAAGATGGCGTCCGGGATGAGAGGAGACTTCAAAATCTGGATGTCACCAATGGAAGGTAAAGTTTGAAGAAAAGCCTCTATCTCACATTCTAGACCATAGGACGCAGTCAGTTCCATCTTTCCCGTCCCGACCACAGCGAAAAACATCTGATATGCCTTGGTGAAGAACATTTCGCCCAACTGCTTCCAGAAGCCGCTCTGTTCACAAGCGCAGACCATTGCCATTCGGTTCAAAGTGTTGGCATCCAGGAACTCTTTTCCTTCATAGAATGCCTGGATCTTGTTTTCAGTGATGATTCGATGATAAGTGATACCGTTGCCATCTTGGATGTTTGTTTTCTGAGAAACTTTATTGAGCTCGTTGGTAGAAGGGGAGAGCAGCAGGACATGGTGTTGCTGGACTTTGGTGTTTCTGGTGATGACCTCTGTCAGGCGCTCGATGATGCGCTCCTTTGGGTGGTCTTTGTGGTAGAGGTCCGCGAAATAGACCATGGGCTTATTTCCAGGACTCTCCTCCTCCTGGCTCAACATTCTACAACAAACAAAACAACATATTAAAGGAAGCTGTCGAGCGGAACCCAACGGCTGACAGACCTAAAGTCGCTTTCTGCATACACCATTGTATATGTATCTACCAGATACATAACCCAGTGACAAGTCTTTGAAAGGCCCCTTTAATTTTTTAAAGAGTGCCATTCTATGCAATCCGAAATATGTCTTTGACAGAATACTGTATGAATCTTCAACTCTGGGAACAATAAAAACGTTGTTTTTTTCAAAAAAAAGTCTTTGAAAGGCATTTAGAAGCGATACACATAAGAAGGAGAATTTATGGATGTCGACTTCTTTATTATGAGGAACACACCGTTTAGGAGTATAAGCTTACTCCTTCATCAGGTGAATGAACCCAGTGACTCTAAAATAGCACAATTATGTAAGCCTCGATTTGAGATTAAGAAGCGCTTTGAATAAACCCTAAATTGTCACCTAAAACCCACATATATTGGCATACACTACAAACCATTTCATAAAATTTCACAGGTTTATAAATTACGAAATCCCTTCTAAATAGAGTGAGTGAGTGAGTATGGTTTTACGCCGCTTTTAGCAATATTCCAGCAACATCACGGCGGGGGACACCAGAAATGGGCTTCACACAGTGTACCCATGTCGGGAATCGAACCCGGGTCTTCAGCGTGACAAGCGAACGCTTTAACCACTAGGCTACCCGACCGCCCCTCTAAATAGAGACACAATCTGTAATGACATAGCTGGACACAAGGACACCTTGGTTACTTGAAGTAACCAAGCGGGAGCCATCGAAAACATATAGATATTTGTCTCCACTAACATGTTTATTTTATCGAGTGATCTGAAATTTCATGTGTGGCGCAGCAGGTGAACAGATGAGATAAACATGTTATTTGATATTCCATTTAGTATTTTGTTACATGATTTTCATGATCTTCCTCTGAAATCGCAGTGTCATTGGGGCAGACTGAAAGTAGTTCCGGCATAAAATAGTATTTTACTCGAATGATATCTTTTTTCACATTCTGAGGTAGATATTGCACATTATCGCTAAAGTATATTAAACATCGAATTATCCGTAGTTCAAGGAAAGCGAGATGCAGATATAAGAACATATTGTCTATGAAGATTGTAAAATCTGTCTTTACCCGAGAGGACCGATGTGACCCCAGCATCTTACTACTTGTCCGATGAGGCGACTAAATTGGGAACCCGTGTTAATACCGGGTTAATATGTACCCAGAAACCCATGCTGGTTGTAACAGGCGACTGAATAGATCGGGAGCGGTCGGGTAGCTGTGTGTTTGAAGCGTTCGCTCGTTACGCCGAAGACCCGTGTTCGATTCCCGACATGTGTACAATGTGGGAAGCCCATTCCTGGTGTCTCCCGCTGGAATATTGCTAAAAGCGGCGTAAAACCATACTCACTCACTTACTGGGTCGGGTTGAGAGGCTCGGTGATATGGTTAATGGCGTGTTGTCAACGTACACCAACGGCGTGGATCGTGGCTCATAATATCACAAGACTGTCTGGCCCAGATTATTTACAAGCCGAAGCCATGTATCTGGAATATTTCTGAGTGCGTCACACAATAACCACACACTTTAAACCATATATTGAGTTCATGAAGTTCTCATTAAGGATGAGCCCATTTCTGGTGTCCCCCGCCGTGATATTGCTGGAATATTGCTAAAAGCGGCGTAAAACCACACACACTCACTCATTAACTCGCTTTCCCTATCGGAACCCACTGATTCATCGTTACAGTAGCTGGGGACGTTTTGGTCAGATTAAGGCAATGTCCATTCATATTCTGATTCAGAGTCATTTGGGGCAATTCAATGGGAGTATGGAGCATAGCAGTTGTTACAGCCAGCAAAACGACACTGCTACGAAGGAACAAGGAAACCCGTGAAGATCCGGATTAGAATAGCTCCATGTCTGCCGTAAAAGGCGACTATGCTTGTCGTAAGATGTGGGTGGTCAGGCTCGCCGACGTGGTTGATGCATGTCATCGTATCCCAATTCCGTAGATCGATGCTTATGATGTCAGTCGCTGTATTGTCTGGTCCAGACTCGATTATTTACAGATCATCGTCAGTGCGGCATTAAACAACAAACACACAAACACACCCAGGAACAAGGAAACACTCGGATCTGACAATATATTCCATCATTGACCTCAATGACGGAAAGGAAATATGAGAGGTGGCTGTACTTAGGGGGAAAAACTTGTACCTTTCCAATCTATATGTCATGGTAGAATGGCAGTTAGTGATTATCATTGTTTCAAAATATTCAGGATATTTGGCTAGTGTTCAAGACGCACAGGGAAATATGAAATCCATATATATCCCTTACGGAACAGGTCCTTCCGACTCGTGGACATATTTCCTCTGTCATCATCACGAGGTGGGATCATCACTTAATTAAAGGTTCAGTAGAATACCCTGTGCGTGTTGAACAGTCGCCAAATATCCTGAATATTATTTATCGTTCTAGAATTGAAAGGGGTAGTCATGGAATAGTGACAACATATATACACATTTCGGTCTCTGCATTTTAATATGAGTGTGTCATTTTAGTACAAACCACAAATGTGTTTCATCAGAAATTAATTTAAGAGTCGATTTTATGAAACACACAAATAAATCCATTTTATATGGAAATATATGGTAAGGGGGCGTGTAATTATTTTCCAGGTGTATATATGAACTTTATCGCAACTCAAAAATAACAATGAAAGTTTTAACAAAGTTTCAGGTGACTAAATATATGATATTGTATATATAAATATTACTCCCATGATGACGTTATTTTTTAAGTGTTATTTTCATTGGTCCTATCCTTATGATCTTTCTCGGTTAAAAGTGGAAATTCTCTTTTGAACTTATCAGGCGATATTAGTCCTGAGTGATTTATGTGTGCTTCTCCTAATCTTTAGGACAAAATGTTCTGTTTGATATCGAGTCTGTTCGCGCACTATGTTGATCATTCCTCGGGAATTCAGGTCGTGTCTTTGGGTGCACATCAGCTATATGGTGAGAGTCGTTAATGCGAAATGTTTGCGGCAATAAAATATAAATATATCCTTCTACCAGGGTTTCGAGACGAGCAGAGAACTGTAGTGGACGTGCAATGGATATCGCTGGTTTCCCAGAGGCCCGTCTCCGGTGGTCAGGTGTCTTCAAACCACAACCCGTGTGTGGTCAAATCGGTTGGTAATCAATCATTAACAATATCGAGCTGCGTTAAATTATGTCGTAAGATAAAAATGGATACACTTCGTGAAAAAATGGTCGTAAATACTTGACGGTCTGTACACACGTACGTGTATATTGACGATGATAGTGAGTGGGTGAGTTGGGTTTAACGCCGCTTTGAACAGTATTCCAGTTTTATCGCGGCGTGTCAGCTTTATGTGGAAGGAAAGCCCGAAGTGATGCAGGTCTCAGACGTTTACCACTTCGGTGAAACCCACGAGCACGGGTATGGTGCTGACAAACCTAGAAACATAATCGGGTCGAACTGGGATTCGAACCCACAATCATAGGTTTCTGGCGTGCCCAATGGACGCAACTCTGCACAGCGAATCGCGGCACCTTAGACGACTGGGCAACCCTTGACGATGGTAGGGGAGAGTCCATTATTCACACACTTCACTTTAACTCAAACTCAATTAACCCGATATATTGTTTAAGGTGCTGTAAATGTTTTAACCAGGCGGAACCCGTATAGGTCCTATTGTCAAATATTGGCACTCTGCTTGTCTCGAACAAACGATTACTCTATAAACATACTTATATATACTTATATAGAGAGGAATATATTTTTATTTACTGACCAATAACGAGTTCCTGTGATTCGAATCCTATATATAAGTATATATATATGGGTATATATTTTTATTTACTGACCACGACGAGTTGCTGTGATTCGAATTCCCTGACACATTACTCGTGTACTACTCAAAAAGGTTAAGGATCACTTGATTCTTTCATATTACTGTGGTTAATATGTTATCACATATAGTAATGTGAAAGAATCGGGTGGTTCTTTACTAAGTCTAGTAGTATACAAAAATCGTGGCAAGGAAACATTCACTTTCTCCTACCCAAATGGACCCGTGAAAATTCGGGGTAGAATAGGTCTTCAGCAAACCCATACTTGCCGTAAAAGGCGACTATACTTGTCGTAAAAGGCGACTAACGGGATCGGGTGGTCAGGCTCGCTGACTTGGTTGATACATGTCATCGATCCCAATTGCGTGGATCGATGCTCATGATGTTAATCACTGGATTGTCTGGTCCAAATTCCTTTTTTTTTTACAGACCGCCGTCATATAGCTGGAATATTGCTGAGTGCGGCGTTAAACAACAAACAAACAACCCTAAACAAATGACGTCAAATAAGTAATTCAAATCCTGTAGTAAATGACATCCTTATACATATACGACACGATGTTCAAAGGTGAATAACACTAACTATACATGAGCGAGTCAGTCGACACATCGTGAAGGAAGCACACAACTAGCGACACAGTCATAAAGGGCTATACAAATAGTTGCATTGGATATTCAGTTTCATGTTGTGTGCTTCTGCCCGAGTGCAGTCACTGACCCAATCAGCCCACGAAGGAAATGCGTCATTAAGTCTGTGTGAGCGGAACAGTCGTGGGTGGGTCCTTGTGCTCAGGTGGGGTGGGTGGCGGAAGACACATCGACATGATAAGAGATGAACACTGGTTGACATATTTACAAGATGGGTGTCTAACATAGTTTCTTATTTCGTTTCCCAGCGACGAGATTTCGGAACCCGGAAGTTATCAGCTTTGTCGCTGTCAATACAGTAACAGTTTCTAAAGGACTCGTGTAGCATACGCAAGACTCATGGTTGCCGAGTAAGTACAATATTTACCTAGCCAGCTCGCTCTCATAGTCTTCTTTTACTTCGTCAGACATACTCAACAATATACACTTCGAAGATGGCGACAGCGAACGAAGGGGAATCCCCAAGCTTATCACGTGACATGAATTATTGAACGCGTGACAAACTGCATGGGTTTCAACCCTTCGACCCCCTCGGCTGTATCGGGGATGACTTAGGTTCAAATAGTTTAAACGTAAAGTCTGTACGTGTAAATGTGGGGTGTTTTAGAGATTAGGTTTGTATTTGTTCTTCTAAATTTATATTCTTATAAACTTAATGTGACTTAGTAATAACAGATTTCTTGAATTCAGACTTTGGAACTGTAATACTGATCACTCAATTAGATAATCATACAACCCTCATATTTAAATTAAAATGATGCAAACTGGTTCACCAGTACATGTTATTTATTTGATATCATAACTTTGTATCTGTGTAGACATTATAAAATATCAAACATATTGCAAGAAGCGCAGGGAATAGTGTTTAATTGTGGTATTTTTAGATCACGAAAGTGATACCATTGACATGACCCTCACATTTTATTCCCTGCTGTCGATCCCATTTTTATTACTGTCAAGATTAACTTGAAAAATCGGTTGTCTTCTTCGTGTAAAAATAGCCTCAAACGTTGAGACGGTGAGTCATGTGCTCCAAAAGGTTGGACAAATTAGTTGACAATTGCAAGAGAGACATATATCTCCATTTCAAAAGGTAATCTCGTATTCTTCAAGGGAGGATGTATGCGCTTCACTGCGATTGTCGGGTACGTGACACGTTGCAGGTAATCAATCTCCAGCCCAGGCAAATCGACATTATTATCAGGTTTTACCGTAATAAATACATTGTTCGCTTCACGTGCAGAAAGTCCTGAACAAAATGTGTTTTGAAAATAAATGAAATTATTCGTCTCCTTTTCAATGAAAATAAAACATAACCTTTTTGTAACAAAATTCCCAGTCCTCAAACCCAACCCCACAACCCTCTCCATGAAATGATTATTACATGGGGGGTCGCTTATGTTCGGGTAGTCCTGCACCATGACCGTGGAATATATTTATTTTATGAAAAAAACATAATCTGGAAATGCATACAAAAGCAAGTCTAGCCAGCTCAAGCTAGCTCTATCTGAAATCAGCATAGGGACTTTTATTTTTATTTTTAGAGTCAAGAAGGATATTGTGTAATATAAGATTTCAGAGACTAAATGTTAGTCTAATGTTCGGGTCGAGGACCTGGTAGTAACCGAATGCCCCCCATATGTAATCAGTGTTCCGAGTAGGGCGTCCGGATGGTTGCATCCCCTCGTCCTGTGCGCCTTGCTACTGTAGCAACAGGAAGGACTACTTGTTCATTGCTCGTCTCCGTTGATACAGTTCATACTACTGTAGCCCCTTTTCTGGGCATATACAGTAGCGTTATCATCATCATCATCATCATCATCATCACCATCATCATCATCATCATCATCACAGTTGTCGTCATCATTATTGATGTTATCATCATCGTCGGGGCGGTCCGGTAACCTAGTGGTTAAAGCGTTCGCTCGTCACGCCGAAGACCCGGGTTCGATTCCTGACATGGGTACAATGTGTGAAGCCCATTTCAGGTGTCCCCCGCCGTGATATTGCTGGAATATTGCTAAAAGCGGCGTAAAACCCCACTCACTCACTCACTATCATCATCGTCGTCGTCGCCGTCATCATACGTAGTAGTAGTAGTAGTAGTAGTAGTAGTAGTAGTAGTAGTAGTAACCCGCTTCCAAAGACGACACAACTCGCTTGTTTAGAGTTATGTCCGTCAGCTCAAAGTTCCGCATCTCGTGAGTTCGAATCCAAGATTCCACCAACACCATACCCTATCGTTGGCTTCAGCGAAACCTCAACCCTCTAAGACCCGCGTAGCTAAGGGCTTGCTTCACACTTTAATATGTTACTGACTAACCTTTCTGTAGGGCTTAAACCCAAAACTCGTTGTCATGTAAGAAGTGCCGGTATAACCGCCAAGTGTTGCGGAAGACCTATTCTGAATTGGCTGTTTGCAGAGACGTTAGAACGGTCAACACTCTTGTCACGCTATAATTCGTTCCCTTACACCGTCACGTACTGATCACGAGGCCCTGTCTACAGCCGTGTCACGTGTTTGCCATACCCGCATGCGTCATTCCCTTTGCCGAACAAGTATAATGTCACCCACATTCGTCCTATGAGTTTAGATAACCAAATACAAAACGAGGTCTATGACTATTTACGTTGAAATACACATTCAAATATCCGTATGACATATTCATATTCTCTATAACATTTATTATTAGCCTTCGCAATATAAGCATCGTTAACAATACTTATTTAATTATATTCGTTAATAAGTGTCATGTTTGCAGATGTTGTACGTTTGTCATGTTCACTGATCTTCTTTGTACATCATCATTTACAGAGGTGAACAAAGGTCAAATATAAGTGTCAAGTTGTGTTTCCTGGAAAATAAGACATTAAGACGTTTCAGACGAATGGTGTCACTCCTAAACAAACAACTGCTTCATGTGCGCCGTGGGAAAGCCCTCTTCGCTGTTCCTGCGCATTTTACTGTTGATTACATACGTACACCTGCGAGGCGCTATCTCAAAACAGATTTGATGTTGAAATCAGGAAGTTTTCTGTTTTGTTGAAGCTGTGTTATTGAAACATGAAATGATAACCTTACTTGAGGCGAATAAAGTAACGAGAATGCGTCATTGTACCAGCTGTTTGAGGGGACCCGGAAGTGATTCATAGCAAGGAATGACAGGAATATGTAAGCGAAATCTTGAAGACTGTTTAGCTTTCAGCCAGTGAACCCTACAGCATATGAACGCGGACTGGGTTGTGCACGAGTTTCTTAAACTATGAGAGACACAAGAATGTAACACTGGTTTACAATAATAGAGACACCATTACACATTACGTCACTATTGGCGCATGCATTATTTCAGATATCCCGTCGGGGGCACAGGTGGCCCAGTCGTGTAAGGCGCCGCAATTCGCTGTGCAGAGTTGCGTCCCTTGGGTACGCTTGAAACCTGTGATTGTAGGTTCGAATCCCGGTTCTCCCCGATTATGGTTCTAGGTTTGTCAGCACCATACCCGTGTTTGTGGATTTCACCAAAGTGGTAAACGCGTGAGACCTGCATTACTCGAGCTTCCTCTCACATTAAGCTGAAACGCCATGATATTACTGGGATACTGTTCAAAGCCAACTCACTCACTCACATCTTGTCAACAATGCCTAAAAATTATATAGCCAAGGCACGCGTTCATTAACGCTAATTTCTGTTTCAATGTTAATAATGCATTGCAATCATAGCAAGGATATCGAGGAAGCTATGTTTTAATACATTGTTATTGTGATAAAATGGAAAACATTGCATGATCATTCATGTTTTTATTACTACTACAATGGTATTTGCATTACGTTATGTGTTTTATGCACCTGATTACTTCAAGCTGGATAATAATTTAATAACTTACTCTAAAACGGGGTTACCTTTCACCTGGCATTCGTTAATTTGACAAAGTCCAGTATTTACAACAATAAGGCAGTCGGGACACACTCGTAACATATCGTATGGAGACAGTCACTACTTCCTGATTTACACCTGAAAAGCGAATTAAATAGGGTTCTACTATTCAGTTATTGTCTCGCCGAAAGAGGATTGGGGACTATTTCTTCTTTAATCACGAATCTCCACCCTGTAATTGTAAAGGTATCGCAGGTGCAAACAAACCCACATACTGCTGTGGGTTTGTTTGCACCTGCACCTAGTGCTGGGCCTTGACCTGTATCACACGTGGCCATTGATCACTTCCGGGTCACCACAAACAGCTGGTATGATAAAGACTCGTGGGTAACGCCCCCATTGGAGTACGTCAGTTTCACCCGCCCAGCACAGGCTAAAGGACAGGACTGTCTTCATATCGTCGTTGGCTGTTGTGATAGGTAAGCATTATACTAAATATATTGTAATCAGATTATAAACACGTCCAAATCATGATCCGCGATAAGTGATTAGATTTGTTGTCAAACATTGTGATATATTTTCTTTAAATCTCACATCGAGGTGCACTTCGAAACCAGCAGAGTGTCAATATTAGTACGATTTTGAATAAATGTACTTGATCAGAAATCTATGGCAGTGTATTACTGCCACAACGTAGATGTAAGTAGTATCTACGTGGGTGAAATAAGAAGATACTGTTTTAGACTATGGGACTAATACGCTTCCATAGAAATCTACAGTGATAATAGCTGCAGTATTTGTGAGTTTGGTTTTGAAAGTGGGAGAAAACTCAGCGATATATAAGCTAATGTAACTCTGTGTGTGTGTGTGTGTGTGTGTGTGTGTGTGTGTGTGTGTGTGTGTGTGTGTGTGAGAGAGAGAGAGAGAGAGAGAGAACAACAGAGAGTGTGAGAGAGGAAGAGGGGCCCGCAGAAGCAGGATATAAGTATATTACCAGGGAAATCGAAGGTCCCATTGCTCAAAGGATCTTCTACGACCGTCGTACGTAATACAATTCAATCCACCCACATATACATTAATTTTTGTAACAGCATGACTCATTTGTGAAACGAGACTGGATCATTAAACTGAATTACGTCCTACTTAAAATCCACTTCGGGACCATTTGAGTCATTTCATAAATATTAGCGAATTGTTAACATTCTTTCGGTAAAGAAGTAAAGGAAATAACAAACAGCTGGCGACATGGGAATGACATCATATCATACATTGTGTTACTGGTTGTGCTGTTATTGAGACGACAAACTTATGTCTCGACTATACACACACATCATTGATGATAATTGAATGAGTGAGTGAGTTGGGTTTTAACGCCGCTTTTAACAGTATTCCAGTTATATCACGGCGTGTCAGCTTAATGTGGGAGGAAAGCTGGAAGTGATGCAGGTCTTAGACGTTTACCACTTCGGTGAAACCCACGAGCACGTGTATGGTGCTGACAAACCAAGAAACATAATCGGGGTGAACCGGGATTCGAACCCAGAAATCAAAGGTTTCTGGCGTGCCAAGGGACGCACTTCTGCACAGCGAATCGCGGCGCCTTAGACGACTGGGACACCCGTGCCCCCGATGATAATTGAAACATTGACAAGCTCTGATTCGGGGAATGTATGTGTGACAGTATGTGGACGTACTGACACGCTCCGGTTGAGTGGCTTGTAGCCCACAGAGACTCTCGTATAGTTAGGAGAGCGTCGTTCCCCGCGTGAAATTATAGATTAGTATCCACAAAAACTTAGTAAGATATAAAGGGGTATGTGCCCTTTGGAAAATGGACAAATTTACTTGAGGAACATGCAGTGATCAAGTTCTTGCAAATTGTTGTTTGGACTCAGGTTGCAAGTGGGGAATCCAGATTTCATCCATATTCACAAATCGTTGCAAGAACCTTTCTGGATCAGCTTCAGAGCAAGATTATCACGAGACATATTGTGCCTTGTGCGTTTTTTATACGATGTCAGAAGCTATAGAACCCAACGAGCGGATACTTTCGTCAGTGACAATGTTTCTGCGATAATGGAAGGTACTCTCTTCTGGGACATGTCTACTGAACTAGCAATATGACGCTCCATCATTCGCTGGTCGGCCATCACAATATCGTGCATTCTCTGGACAGGCCTTACAGGACGGGGGTCATCTTCAAGGCTCTCGCTTAAACATCCTTTTACGGTGACACAGGAAGGGGAATCATTCCCTAGTGTTGTACTCAAACCTTCTTGGATAGCTTTTGGTTCTAAACCCCGTTTCTGCAAGTACTTTACATAAATGCCTAATGTTTAACATCCTTTTCACAATAACATGGAGAAGTATCACATTGAAACTTTTGTAAACAATTTGTTGTTTTTTAATGTATACTTCGGTTTGTAACACGTTAACAGCCCCAATAAATAAACCTCATATTGTGCTTCCTCACGCACAGAGATGCATACTCTGCTTCGGTCAGTAGTCTGTCTTACAGACCCTGATACATTTATATCAACTACAGCCCATGCAAGTCTATAATGTTTGGCAAGTCTAGATTACTGCAGTATCAGGAAAATGAAGAGAATCACTGGGCTCCCTTTTTATTAGATTTTTATTAAGATAACTGAACAACCGTTTTTTTCTGTATGATATGTTCATTTCAGAGACTATATGTTAGTCTACTTCGGTCAGTAATACTTCGGCTTTCGCACGCTCTCACCAAATGTCTCCTCTCGTTGCCGACCTATATTTCGTCGCTTTCCGTGCACGACGAAAATTGCTTGACGCGCATAGTACACTGGTGTTTTTCCCCCTAATTTCCATATCTTCCTGTTCAGAATAAAAACTTGCTCACGACAGGACTGACAAACAACATGCATTTTACGCGGTGGCGTTACTCATCCAGTGATATGCAGACAAACACTACTAAACACTACTTTGTTACCTACACTGAGTCACAGTAACTAGCCCGACCACGTGTATTATACTGGGGTTCTAGGCTTGTACTACGAAACCCCTTCAATCCGGAAGTAATCGCTCCAAATGAAATAGTCCCCAAAGGTAACTATCCGGAAAGTTGCAATTACAGATTAACGAGGCCCGAACTAGCGAGGTCTCCTTTTCCTTTTTTGAAATCTCCGCTCTTTCCGCTTTTAAAACACTCCCAAGCGGTAAACACATTGATGATCTCACTTTGAATAATTGTTGCATATATCTTAAACAATGGACAAGTTAAAATATGTATTCTGAACCAAAGGCGTTTCAATTTTAATGCGTATTTTTTTCCGGCGGCTTCACATGAAGATATGTATGGAGACGAAAAACATGCTACAGATGTTCTAACGTTATTTGGTTATGTCTCCTGTTTTTTCACTCAACACGTAATTGTCAGCATTATTGATTTCATCTCGTACAGTTTCACATGGGAAAATAAATTACGTCAGCCCTTTCGTTGGCAGAAATGTCTTTTAACAAGATAAACCAAATGTACGTTGTTTCCTGTATGAAGTTCAGAGTATTGCTTTTCAAATATTGTAATAGTTCAGATGCACCGAAGTCTCCCTGACAGACATGGCGTACGTGTCATCCCGTTCATGTTGGAGTTACCACCATTGCACTTAGAGCGAGTATATTCTGTTCAGAGGGCGAACGGTCAGTCGGAAAAAAAGGCGGAACATATGTCTATACACCTACGTGTGTAGTTGGATTTGGACGTGTCAGATATATATATATATATATATATATATATATATATATATATATATATGTGTGTGTGTGTGTGTGTGTGTGTATATATATATATATGGATGGATGTGTGTGTATATATATATATGGATGGATGTGTGTATATATATATATATGGATGGATGGATGGATGGATGGATGGATGGATGGATGGATGGATGGATGTATACGTCGGGTTCATAAAACCTTCCAGCTTAACGGATCAGAATCTTTCTGATACTAGTAGAACGCAACAATAGCGAGCATAACCATCGTCATCACAACCAGCATCCATGATGGATGAGTATCATGAATGTTACATTGTTTCGCGTCATCTTTAAAGGGGGACTAGGATCGGGTCAATTGGCATCCCAAGCCAGTTTGATTCAGGTCATCCAACCAATACTTTACCTCTCTGCTCATTCAGGCTTAATAATCTAGACAAACATACGAATAAAATATTATCTTAATTGTTATAGTAACAATATTTCACGCAAAGCATGGTTATATTATTATTTTTTTAAGTGAACCGATGCATTCTCTCAACGATGTCGCCTCTTATATTTCCTCTATATATCGTGCGGAGCGAAACCACGGCCTGTTGAGATGCGACGAATTAATGTTTGGGTATCTACTCAGTATCAAGTGTTTTTATGTGCTTGTATGTTCAGTTCTCATATATATTTCGTTTCTTCTTTCAGACAGGTCCCCGTAATCGACATGGAGGTCGCAGCACCTTCAGCTGTCCTGGTCGACATTCATGGCTTTGAAGACAATGTTGACGTCATCAACAAAATGGCGAAGCACCTACGCGTAATCGAGAATGTGAGTAGTCACGTATACGTATACTTTCTGACGTCGACGGAGACGCCGGTCGTGCCAGGAAACGCCCTGACCGGCGCCAGCATGACAACGTCCAAGGTTGTAGGTGAAGGTCGCGTAAACTGCTTTTACGACGCCAAGAGAAACCTGGACAATGCAGATGTAGTTAACGTGTGCGTCTTGTGTTGCGACCCCTATGAAGAGTATTGGAAGACCGTGTGCGGAGCCATGTTCACGCCAGTTCACACATGGCGGATTGAAACAACGCCGTGTGACGTCACGGCCTTGGTGGACTCGAAGTCGGCGTTACCTGACCTCCGGAATATGCTCATAACCCTGCCGTCAATAGGAGAGATAAATGTATTGAGAACAACTCTCATACCAAGTCACAAGTTTAACCATGGTTATTCCACACGCTCTGGCGGGATCACCAGCATACCGAGCCTGTCGTCCATGAACTTGCTGTACACGACGCGCAAACGCGACTCACGTCTGACCGTGACGGAGAATGTACGACGCTTGGCCAAAACTGCCCTGTTCGATCCGGATCAGTTCCTCATTACGCGGACCGACCACGGGAACAAGGTGTGGGTGGTTGGAACGGAAGAGCCAGAGAAGTACGACGCCATTGTCACCGACAAGCCTGGTTTGACGGTGGCCGCGGCAGGAGCTGACTGCACCCCTCTTCTCTTTGTGGATCCAGTGAAACGCGTGTGCGGCGCAGCGCACGCTGGGTATATGGGTACACTGAAACGGGTGGTCGTTCAGACGGTGAACGCTCTTGTAGAAGAGTTCGGAAGTAATGTGGAGGATATTTTGGTTACCATGGGACCGACGTTATGCGCGGACTGCTTCTCGTTTGACAGCATGGATCCTGCAGTAGAAGAGTTCCTGGCTATTGACCAAACCACTGTGGATTTCAGGGTGAATGGTGAAGGTACTCGGGTACACGCAGGTCTCGTGACTACCAACACACTCCTCTTGGAAAGGATTGGCATCAAACCAAACAATATAGACACGACCCGAGCCACCTGCACAGCCTGCGACCCCGACAGGTTCTTTTCTTATCAGAGAGACAATTTCCCGTTTGGGAACCAAGTTGGCTTTGTGAACATTAGATAAAGTGATAGCCATTGTTGCGTCCTCTGCAAGATATGACATTCCGTTTGGTCTACGGGTCTCTGCTAGAGCGTATAACATTTTTTTCGATTTTGTCTATGGGTCTATGCAGGAACATATGACATTCCGTTTGGTTTATGTGTTTCTGCAGGAACGTATAGCATTCCGTTTGGTCTATGGGTCTCTGTAGGAACGTATGACATTCCGTTTGATCTATGTGTTTCTGCAGGAACAATGACATTCCGTTTGATCTATGTGTTTCTGCAGGAACGTATAGCATTCCGTTTAATCTACGGGTCTCTGCAAGAACGTATAGCATTCCGTTTGGTCTACGGGTCTCTGCAGGATCGTATAGCATTCCGTTTGGTCTATGGGTCTCTGTAGGAACGTATAGCATTCCGTTTGGTCTATGGGTCTCTGCAGGAACGTATAGCATTCCGTTTGATCTATGTGTTTCTGCAGGAACGTATAGCATTCCGTTTGATCTATGTGTTTCTGCAGGAACGTATAGCATTCCGTTTGGTCTACGGGTCTCTGCAGGAACTATGACAATCCGTTGGGTCAACGGGTCTCGGCAGGAACGTATAACACTACGTTTGGTCTATGTGTCTCTGCAGGATGTAATACATTAAGTGTGCCTGTGTACATTGGCCCACGGTTCTCACCGGAACCAGGGGTATGATACACCTATGTGCCTGCAGACAGACGTTGATCTATGGGTCTCCACACCGAGATATGATATAACGGTTGATCAATACGGGGTTACGATATATTTAGTGTGGACATAATATTTTTTCGTTCACACACACACACCATACATCCCAGCATATGGTTGGTTCCCTAAGTCTGGTAGGCTTTATATATGGCACTGCATATCTCTATGCCAGTGTTAAATCTATTGTCTCTGCAAGGACCCTTCTCGTTGCGTAACTGATGGTGTATTATATTACGTTGGTCTGTCGGTTTGTGCAGGAACATATGGCATTGTATTCAACGGACAGGTCCCTGCAGAGATACATGACCTACATTAGGTCCACCTTTTGCTCTCTACTACTGATTAACTGTGGTGGTTGTGACTTAGTGTGATTACTCTCAGTGCTTTGATAATTCATGTTTGTTCTTCTACTTTACCTCATTTATGATCAGATTTTTACATTATCCTTGTGATTTTATCCATTGATTACGCTCGTCTCGGCTTGTTTCACTTGACGTTATAGTGCTTTCCTGGGCTTGTCACTCCGAATCCTCTCTCAAATTCATATAATTTATCGGGAGTTATCGCCCCTCGCGATATGCGCGTCGTATCTCGAGAAGATTAAATGGCGGTGTCATTCAAATTATACACCTTAATTCGGGCTACAGTATTACTCGGGTAAACCATGATATGCTCTTACATAGTTTGAACAGCATTACCTAAGTAAGCTGCAGTTGCAACCTAAAACATACAAACGTAGGTTAATACTTACTTTTGCAAAAGGCAAAGGGGTTTATGATTACATATTAAGACAACTGTGGAGTTGAATGATGAAACGTGTCTCTGCCATGTGTGCCGAGCGTGGTTATATCATGGGGAACTATGTTACGTGTACGTCGAGTATCCGATAGTTATAGCTTGGGGTCTATGAAATTAATACGTCGAGTGTGTCATGCGTGCTTTGGTTATAACATGGGGTCTATGAAATTAATACGTCGAGTGTGTCATGCATGCTTTGGTTATAACATGGGGTCTATGAAATTAATACGTCGAGTGTGTCATGCGTGCTTTCGTTATAACATGGGGTCTATGAAATTAATACGTCGAGTGTGTCATGCGTGCTTTGGTTATAACATGGGATCTATGAAATTAATACGTCGAGTGTGTCATGCGTGCTTTGGTTATCACATGGGGTCTATGAAATTAATACGTCGAGTGTGTCATGCGTGCTTTGGTTATCACATGGGGTCTATGGTGTTACTACGTCAAGTGAAATAAGCGTCAGAGTTGTGATTGATTCCACTAACAGCATTCATCAGCAGGTGTCTGGTGACATATAGTAGTCAGATTTTATTGACATATAATCAGTGATTTGTACATTTAATAACAGTTCCAGTCCTTGTAGTATTAGAAAGGTGTGTTGGTCATGCATGTTTGTATACACGCAAAGCTATAGAAGCTTTACACTTAATGATATCTAGCATACAAAGGTCTCCTTTGCTCTTGAATTTGTATATTCCCAAACTGTTTTCTCCGCCATCAGCATATGTAAGCGAAATCACCCATTTCCACTATTTACGTATGTTCTCTATTCAGATACGGTCGCATTAAGGGTTGGTATAGGGTAAGGTTATGAAATAAGCGTAAGTACGTTGAATAAGGGACGGACCTCTAACGAACAGGGCTCTAATATGGGCTGGGTTTCAAAGTCATAATGGCCTGGGCTTTTATTAGAGGAAAGACGGTACTACTACACACCTCTTGGCAGTGATACAGAGATATGAAGTCACTCTGCTCGTTAAGATACACATTATATGTAATCAGTTTGATGTATCGCTGGGAACGGGAATATCTGTACTTAGGTGTCATTATAAAGTCAGTTCATTCCACCAAGTTATGAATGCGTCAGCCTCTGCCATGTCGAGATACTGGTTTATGTTGAACGTTGACTGGTTCAACATGAAACGTGTTGGGTTCAATTGTATAGCTGTAACTGACCCTATAAGTATGGTTATAAACGAAGTTATGAGTGCGTCAGCCCTTGCAATGTTGAGATACTAGTTTAGGTTGAACGTTCAACATGAAACGTGTTGGGTTCAATTCCAAAGCTGTAACTGCTAAACAAATACTGAACATTGGACGTTCAAGCAAACAACTGAGCGTGTACATAGAAATATCAGAAGTATAATGAGTGAGTAAGTGAGTTGGGTTTAACGCCGCTTTTAACAGTATTACAGATATATCACGGCGTGTCAGCTTAATGTGGGAGGAAAGCCCGAAGTGATGCAGGTCTCAGACGTTTACCACTCCGGTGAAATCCATGAGCACGGATATGGTGATGACAAACCTAAAAACATAATCGGGGCGAACCGGGATTCGAACCCACAATCATAGGTTTCTGGCGTGCCCAAGGGACGCAAAACTCTACACAGAGAATCGCGGCGCCTTAGACGACTACGACTGGGCCACAATCCACCCCACCCCACCCCACCCCACCCCACCCCACCCCACTCCACTCCACTCCACTCCACTCCACTCCACTCCACCCAGGATGAGTTGACTAGGATGTCATTTATATTGAAATGTTATAATCATTAAACTAAACTCGGAAAATATCCTTAATACTCGCCGCTCTATAGCGCTCTTTAACGAACGTCCCTAACAACATAGACATGTGATCTGCTTTCAATATCCAACGGCGAATGAGATATTTGCCAATATTTAGTGATTTAACCCAGTAAGTTATACGAATACTGCTTTTATGATCGTGTATAACTATATATAATAATACTGATGGATTTCAGTTGTCCATCAAAGTGCCACATTGTTGTTACACAGACCCCTATACAGATCATTATGCATACTGTTTTCGTATCACTATGCAGCGATAACCTTGTAAATACACTTGAGCTTGTATTTGGGTGTTTCCCGGTTCTAACTCAATGATAACATTTATATAACAATTGCAGTGATTACCATACTCCTGACAATAACAAGCGACAAAAGTCCTTATCTGATATTGCCTTCACTTCCGCAACGTGACTGACATACGTAAGAGCAGTAGATCCCCGTGCCATAACAAGTTTTTCTGACAGGAGGAAACATTTCACCTTTTTTATATATTTCTTTTTAGGCGGCAATAAATAAATTATCTTTATTTTATCTAAAAAGAAAGAAAAAAGGGGTAGTATTTGTTTAAGTCAGATCACTATACCTAAGTACCCTGTTATCTACATAGTTTGACAAAGTCCGGCGAAAAACACATAGTTAGAAGGTAAAACATTAAAATCTAAAAGCTTATGTGATACAGAATTTGCTAAGAGAAATATTAATGATATTTAAGTCTTCGAAATCGTTCTCCTTAAAGTTACAATGTCTCAAACAGAAAATAGATGATTATAAACATATTATGTCAAGAAAATTTTGTTTTCTTAGAGGTCATAGCTTGAACCATATCCTCAAGTATACAGTGTATTATGTTATCATTCTGTTATGATAAATGCCCTGAACCCATTCGCTACCATTCTTGTTTAGTCGGATTGAAATGGCACAACGCTAAAAAAATAGCTTTCCAATTAAATTACTCTCATGAGCGAGAGATATATTGTGCCAAGACGTAGCTGACGCTGAGCTCGTGACGTCACTTCCGGAACGTAGCTAAGGTGTCGAATGGGTCCATGTTTTTTATCCATCTTCGTGTTTTGTGAGCTCAGGACTCAGGGAGAGACTGGTACAGTTGAAAGATTGCTGATTGTTATGACGACATTCAACACTTTACGCACGTATCAACACATTGCCTTGAGCTGTTTTTGACAGGAACGTTCGCGCCGTGTTGCATACAATTAAAGTGTTCGTGTTCACTTTGAATTTAGAACTCTCAGCGTTTAGGCTGTTTTCGTAATAAATATAGTTTTACCTCATAAATGGTGTTCTTGTTGCTCTCAATATCATTGTTACCTATGTATCAATAAATTGCATGACGGATTTAGATGCGGTCCTCAAAACGACGACGGTAACTAAACACCTGTTGTAAATGGAGCCTTATAGTCAGGCCGAGATTAAGGCGAGTCATGTTAGTCAGGGAATCGGTCAGGGAAACAGTAACGTGTGATTGAACTTTAAAATTTCTGCTCGGATTGGCAAAATCAAAACAAGGGAAGGCGACCAAGAAGTTTAACTTAAGCTTCAGGTTTATCGATCATATGATACCGTTCAAGAATAGTCAAATCCCCTCCGCTGATTTGTCCTATTGAGTTAGATCTATAGGAGACCAGTGATACCGCCTCATCTGTTTTATATTTAGATCAGTGCATAATGATTCAGAGTGAGGAAAAACTCTCCACAAGACTGAATGACTTCAACTTTCCAATAGTCAACACTCTCTCTTTATGTCGCCAATATTCCTGCAGCTCCAGCCTTTGGTGGGTTTACACCGTTCAAGGCCCAAGTAAAACTTTCCAAACCATTTATGATAGACACGTGGAGCACATTTCAAAATTTGACGCATCAGTCCCGAGTTTGACTTCGAGCATATGTTCCCGTTGTTTTGGGATGCTGATTTTTCAAGTGAACACTTTACTTGCCTTTGCATGTGTTTGAGACGGGTGCCACCGGTTGCCAGGGTATACTCAACTTTTGGCGAACACCTGGTATCATCACTGTTGATAATGATACAACACATGCTTATGATAAAGTCGAAATCGTACAATCGAATTTTAGCAGTGATTTCTTATGCTTATGGAAAGGGTTTTGAATCGTGTATTCAAACTTTGACTCATGAACTAGTGTACCAATTACTGAATTATGTACTAGTATATCAAGCAATGAATCATGTACTTGTATATCAAGCACTGAATCACCTACTGGTATATCAAGCACTGACTCGTACTGGAATATTGCTAAAACCGGCGTACCACCAAACTCACGCACTCACTCACTAGCATATCGAGCACTGAATCATGTACTAGTAAATCAAGCACTGAATCATGTACTAGATAATCAAGCACTGAATCGTGTACTAGTATATCAAGCACTGAATCATGCCCTAGTATATCAAGCACTGAATCATGTACTAGTATATCAAGCACTGAATCATGTACTAGTATATCAAGCACTGAATCGTGTACTAGTATATCAAGCACTGAATCGTGTACTAGTATATCAAACTCTGAATCATGTACTAGTATATCAAACTCTGAATCATGTACTAGTTGATCGAACACTTAATCATGTAGTAGTATATCAAGCACTGAATCATGTACTAGTAAATCAAGCACTGAATCATGTACTAGTAAATCAAGCACTGAATCATGTACTAGTATATCAAGCACTGAATCATGCCCTAGTATATCAAATTCTGAATCATGTACTAGTTGATCGAACACTTAATCATGTAGTAGTATATCAAGCACTGAATCATGTACTAGTAAATCAAGCACTGAATCATGTACTAGTAAATCAAGCACTGAATCATGTACTAGTATATCAAGCACTGATTCATATACCAGTAAATCAAACTCTGAATCATGTACTAGTAAATCAAGCACTGAATCATGTACTAGTAAATCAAGCACTGAATCATGTACTAGTAAATCAAGCACTGAATCATGTACTAGTAAATCAAGCACTGAATCGTGTACTAGTAAATCAAGCACTGAATCATGTACTAGTACATAAAACACTGAATCATGTACTAGTAAATCAAGCACTGAATCATGTACTAGTAAATCAAGCACTGAATCATGTACTAGTAAATCAAACTCTGAATCATGTACTAGTAAATCAAGCACTGAATCATGTACTAGTAAATCAAGCACTGAATCGTGTTCTAGTATATCGAGCACTGAATCATATACTAGTTTATCAAGCATTGAATCGTGTACTAGTATATCAAGCACTAAATCATGTATACAACTGCCGCAAGAGACCACGGTCGGCTGGGCAGCACATATGACGAGTGGGTGCTACCCGATAACATGGACCTTCGCTAACACTTCTGATACACCATACCGCCTCCGTGGCCTAGTGACAGAGCGTCCACCCGGAGAGTGGGGTATTAATGTTAAACTGCGGCATGGTATCTCATTGGGCTAGCACTATAAATCGGCATCAGTCCGGACTAGTACAAGCAGCCACACACACTCTCACACACACACACACACACACACACACACACACACGCACGCACACTGACATGCACGTTGCTATATAAGTGCAATAATCTTGGACGCGACGTTAAAACCCATTTCACTTCACCTCACCTTCTGATATACTTGTATTATCACTGACTGTGGCGTTAAACAATATTCATTCTTTTACCGTTTCTACTTTTACAAGGACACAGATGATCACCTCCACGTGTGCCATAACGATAATTATACCACATAACATGCATCACGTACACGTAGTTGCTGACAAGCAGTTCCTAAAATAGCATCAGTTATAGCACTTTGAGTGATGCCATTGCTTAGACACTATACGACATGGTGTCGGGTTACATATACATCGACAGTAAATTGTGATGACTTGTAAAGTACGCTGAAATAGTTATAACGACTGGGGTATATCAAACATATACGTACATGGATACACGCTGTAGGTTTAGGGGACCATTTTGATGTTAGGGATTCGGACCAGGAAGAGTTCAAGGTTAGGATATGCGTAAGAAACATGACAGCGCGAGAGATGGTCGAACTGGTAGCGACACAGCTGGGGGGTAAGGAGACAGTAGCCTGGGGGTAGGTGTATAGGATGGATACGGTTCACACCGGCGGCACGTTCGCTCACCTCATTCTTGTTGTCTACAACGTCCACAACGGTAATCCTGTGTCGTGGGGTAGCGTTTGATGTAGACGCGCACGCGCTTTTTGTCCCCGCGTTCCTGTGGCAGAGGATGGCAGATGGATGCTGACTTGTGGAGGGGATGAGGGCGACTGATAGCACCGACAGCGTCTCAGATGCCGGGCATCCCCGCTCAGATAGTGGTCACCCCCTGCTACGCGGGATCGCGATTAGCCCTCACGGGGAGCAGGGCAGTCGTGGTTGGAGTGATAGCAGGTACTAGGAGCTTGATTACATGTTACGATGTATTAAGGGATGAAAGTCGAGGGTGGGCATGTACTGGGTGCGGGAGTGGGCTAAATGGATAAGCGTCCCAGGGGTCAGGATGTTGCAGGTTAGGGGGATACATAGGAGGATAAATGTCCCAGGGGTCGGGGCATAGCAAGCGAAGGGGTAGGGTATAGTATAGGGAGATAGGCTTCTGTGGGTTCGGTGTTTACCAAATTTCTAAGTATTGTTTGATTGTCTTTTAGTTTAACGCCGCCCTCAGCAATATGCCATCTATATGATGGCGGCCTGTCAAGAATCAAGTCTGGACCAGACAATCCAGTGATTGATATAATGAGCCTCGATCCACGTAATTGGGATACGATGACATGAATCAACCAAGTCAGCGAGCCTGACCACCCGAATACTTACGGGAAGCATTGTCGCCTTTTACGGCAAGCATGGGTTGCTCTTCACTGGTCGTGAGAGGGTAGGGTAGTGAAATAGGTTTCCTAGAGGTCAGGATTTACCAAGTGAGGGGTCCTGGTCTTGGGAATGGGGTATACAGAGGGGGTACAGTACTTTCTATTGAGAGACATCGTCTTGATCTGGACAGCACAAGCGAAACAATACATTGCATACCGCACACACACAGACACACACACAGACACACACACACACACACACACACACACACACACACACACACACACACACACACACACACACACACACACACACTTCCACCCCACCCCCCTCCCCTCTTATATGATACAAGTACAGCAACCAACGGCATATCGATATTGGGCGGGGTCAGGCTGTTCCTTATACAGAAAGGGCCTGGCTGCTCCTTTTTGTGGCTATTGTTTCTTGCGATAGCCACTACTGGTAAACACCTGACGCCACTGGAGAACTCAACCAACACGTGTACGATAGCAGGTGACCTTAGATAGTGTTACACCCACGTACCCCCCAACACAGACACGCGTGGTTACCACTGAAAGCTGACCCCAATATCTATCAACTCCAACGAAATGCTCATTACTCTTAATGATACATCAGGGAGCACTCATATTATCAAAGTTATACGAACGTGTTTTTAATATCACGATTGACCAAATTTGTTTTCCTCATTTGATTGCTGTTCATTCATATTTATTAGATAGATTATTAGATAATTTCCTTCCTCCTTCCTTCTACAGTAATATCACTGATAGTTATGTTAAGCGAACATCAAGTACTTTATTCAATATCTTATTATGGAACTTAGTGTGTGTACTTGTCTATTTAGAGGTGTCTAAAGGTGAGGTGAGGTGAAATGGTGTTTAACGTCGCGTCCAAGATTATTGCACTTATATAGCGACGTGCATGTACGTATGTGTGTTTGTGTGGCTGCTTGTACTAGTCCGGACTGATGCCGATTTATAGTGCTAGCTCACTGAGATACCATGCCGCAGTTTAACATGAAATTCCCACTCAGACATAGTATACTGACTCAGAGCCAACCAGTCCTTGTTTTAGCCCCTTAATGCCGAGCGCCAGACAGGGTAACAACAAGTACCATCTTTTAACGTCTTTTGGTATGACGCGGCTGGGGATCGAACCCCGAACCTTCCGCTCTCCGGGCGGACGCTCTACCACTAGACCACGGAGGCGGTCAGATGCAGCTAAAGGAAGGGGTGCACTGTGGATCAATAGGTGCCAGGTCTCAAATAATATCGAGTATCGTGTCATACAAACATATAAAATTCATTTACTCTGCTTTTATAACGGAACACGTATATAGGATGTATAAGGATGTACATCACTGCTTGCGACTAACGGGATCGGGTGGTCAGGCCCGCTGACTTGGGTGGCTCGATGCTCATGATGTTAATCACTGGATTGTCTAGCCCCGACTCGATTTTTTTACAGACCACCGTCATATGGCTGGAATATTGCTGAGTGCGGCGTTAAACAACAAACAAAACAAGCATCACCGCATGAGGTTATCAGTCATGTTTCCCCAGGCTTGTTTATTCTAGCTTCTTGACATTTGTTTATCTGTTTATTGACAAGCGGTGCAAGCACATTACTGGGTCCATGGTGTGAGGCGGTAGACATACAAGATTCATATACTGAGAAGTGTACAGATCGGAAGAGTTTTGTTATAAGCAAGATTACGAGATTTGATTGATAACTTCGAGTGAGTGAGTTAGTGAGTGGATGAGTTGGGTTTAAAGGGAAACGACACTCCTGAAGTTTGAAAGCCTTGAAATATGGATCCTTATTTTCTTCGCGGATTCAAAATCGGCTTATTATGGACTATAATTTCGACTGGTTCGACTTGTGTTTGGCGCTATACTCGCTGCATGCTCTGCGCGAAGCGACACCTATAGGAGATTCGAAGAATGAGAAGCCGTATATGCATGCAGCCAAACTGAACGTGTGTTTTGGTGTTGATTAATGCATGTACGACTTGAAAGGGTGGAGCTATCGGTCAACATCGTACAAAAACAACTACATAGCTTTCCTTTCAGAGAATTCAAGTAAATTAAAAAAAAACAGGTGACAATAAACTTCACCAATACTGCTAAAGTGAAATTCAAATGAATTATCATTAAACATGATGATTTACCATTTAAATCGTATTTTCCGTTCCGATAGGCATTCTTTTATGTGCAGAAATAATTATTACTGTGTGTATTTTCCGGTTTAGGTGGTTTAGGTTAGGGCTGGGACGGGTAACTCGGGTACTGAGGTCGGGTGGGTCCTGAGTAGGAGCCGGGTACCCACAGGACTACCCGGGCCCGTGGTTAGTTACGTGATATATTGCTTGATGACAAAAACTCACTATAGCTCAGTGGTTACACCACAAGTCGCTAGTGTTCGCATTTCTTTCTGACGATGCACACATTCCTTTTGACTTGTACATGTCTGAGAAAAGATAAAGCTTCAGTCAACTTCAGTGTACTGATCGTTTGATGCATGTATCTAAGTAGTTTTGGCCAGGGCTGCGATAAAACAGTTCCCAATCAGACATTTTGTTCCCAGCTCTTGAGACCTGCAGTGGGTACCCGGGTAGGGTCGGGTAATAGGGGATCGGGTACCCGGGTAGTAAATTTGGTCCCAGTCCTAGTTTAGGTGTTATGTCTCATTGGTCAGCTGAGATAGCACACGTGACAACTATGTTCATGATGTCCACGTTCTTTAAAAAACCCACAGTTAGATAACAATGAGCAATCAACGTATTATCGGCTAATGCCGTTTCAATTTCTAATATTAATATCAGAGTAGCTAAGAGAATTATAGGTTTTTGGCATACCCATCTTATACGATCTCAACAAAATAAGTTTTTCGACTCTAATATATCAATGACCCAAGTATATATTATGCCATATAATTTCAACATCAAGTGGCTAGTCTCGTCTGTTGAAAGAATATTGACCGATCATTTTCTACAATCCTGGAGAAGTTCAATATTGTCGAGTTCATTAACATCTTAAATAATGTCATTATCTGAAAACTACCTCTATCTACCTATATCTGTTTATTACCCGCTCTTAGAATTTCGCACTAATAACCACAATTTACCAGTCGAGACTGGCCGCTGGAATAATGTACCCAGAGAACAACGTCTATGTTCACTCTATAACTCCCCAGCAATAGCAGATGACATCCATTATATATTTCGATGTCAAGCTTCTGATAACAAAAGACTTTCACTTATTCCGAGAAGATATTTAAGTTGGTCAAATGTGTTTTCATTAAAAAAAACTATTTTCAACAACCAAACTAAACGAGCTGAAACGTCTATTAAAATATTTATTATTTGTATTTAACACTTTGAATGCTAAATCTAAATGCACACAGCCTTCTTGATATACATATTATATTCATCTCTGTACTTTATGTATGCGCTTGTACCGCCGTCGGTGGTCTATGGAGAAATAAAGAATCTGAATCTCAATCCGAACGGTATTCCAGTTATATCACAGCGTGTCAGCTTGATGTGGGAGCAAAGCTGGAAGTGATGCAGGTCCTAGTGGTTGACCACGTAATAGTGAACACTTTGTTCTGACCTGCACCTTCTTCTTGTTTCTCCATTTTCCAGTGGTCACAGACCCCTGCCTATTTTTCTGACTCGACACAGCGAAACAATTTGCTCAATGGACTCAATGTTTTTGCGGATATGCCTGCATGACACCATCTAACGCTCAGAAGAAAAAAAATCACCCCCGTTATGATCCGGGATAGAATAGGTCTTCAACAACACACGCTTGGAGTTAAAGGCGACTGAGCTTGTCGTTCGAGGCGACTAACGGGATCGGGTGGTCTGGCTCGCTGACCTGGTTAATGCATCGTATCCCAAATTGCGAAGATCGATACTCTGGATTGTCTGGTCCAGACTCGATTATTTATTATTTACAGACCGACGTCATATCGCTGGAATATTGCCGAGAGCGGCGTTAAACAACAAACAAACAAGCGAAATAGAGAAGAGAGAAATATTTACTCTAACGCAATTCCTTCTATGTGAGGTTTAGAACTTATCACTCAACCCTCGTTTCACTAAACGCGTTATTATATTTATTGATTGAAAAATATGTCGCAAGCTCCGACGTTCATACAGTTTGGCCCTTACTCTATGAAGGTTCATACTCCAATGAACTCACACAAAGTGAAAGTTAATTTTTAAATGATAACGAATTTTTAAAAAAATTATCTTTCATTTCGTCACCCAGTGGCCTGAAAATGATAGGATTAAAAGAAAACGAAAGTTAATGAATATTTTTTTACAAAATGTGGCTTCTAATCTCAGCATAATTTGTCTGTTGGGATGTTTCCTGCAGTATTTCTATAATATCACGTTGTGTCATCTTATTGCGAGAGTGAATAAAGCGTCCGTCCAAAAAGAGGAATTCGAAGGTCAGTGGTTTCTTTCTCAGCCGCGTCATACCGAAAGACTCTAA